CCCGCGCTGCAGGGCGCGGTGCCCGCGGCGGCGGCGGCGGCCATGAGAGCGGGCAGGCCGCTGTGCCAGCTCACATAGCCGCAGTACGAGTCCCATAGCCACTGGTGCACGCGCCGCGCGTACTCCGCCGCGCTCACTCCGCCGCGCTCGGGGGTGGGGGGCGACGGGCCAGTTCCCGGGCTGCCCCCCGCGCCCCCTTCCCCCTCCTCGACCCCGGCCGCGGCCGCAGTCGCGGGCTCCGGCTCCGCCATAGCCCCGGTCCGCTCGCTCCACACGCCCCTCCTCCACTGCGCATGCGCGACCCGGCAACCTCGCTCCGCCTCACCCACCTGCCAGGTGGGAGGGGGTAAGAGCGGAAGCGACCAAGTGAGTGAGGAGGTGTGGGGGGGCAACACAGCTCCAGCGCGAGAGGTTCTCGCCCCCCCCCCAGGAGATGGTATCGTCCTGTCACGCCAGCCGGAGGCTGCATGGAGCCTGAGGAGTGACAGGGAGGAGCTGGGCCGCGGGGGGCGGGGCTTCTGTTGCCAGAACGATCGGTGTGGCGCAGCTCGGCTCGTGGCACGGTGACGCCCTTCCTCCAGGGCTGCTGTCAGCAACCGGACCGGGGTTACCAAATATGGGCGGGCGGCAGCTTCCACTCCGCGCTGCCTCAGGGGGTGGCTGTCTCCCGTCGGGGGTAATACCGTAGCAACCCCAGGGTCAGGGGGTAATCCCGCAGTGTCACACTTGGGGTAATCCCTGAGCACCACAAGGCCATGCTCAGTGGTACTCCCCTAACACCACGCGTGGGGTAATTCTGTCACACTCGGCAATCCCTTGCAGTCCAGGATGACAGCCTTATGTGTGTATCCTGAAATTGCTGCCGAGGCCTATCCAGGACTGACAGACTCCGCTGTGCCTCGGGCACACGTTTCCACGGGGGCGGGTGGCGCTGTGTTCTGTCTCCTGTTGTTGCAAAGTTTCAAAGTACTGAGGTTCAGCAGAGTCCTCCACCATTTGTGGCAGCCCTGGGCAATGGTCTCCCACCACGATGTCAATGTTACGTTTTTTTCAGATTGGCCTTGAGGACATCCTCTAGGTGCTTTCTGTGCCCTCCTCTTGAGCCTATGCCTGGACAGAGCTGGGAGAATAAGACCCACTTCGAGATTCTGCAGTTGGGTGATGTGGCCGGCCCAGCAAAGATGATACCAGATGATCATTGCTTCAAGTGCTCATGGTGTTTGCTTGCAAGAGGATGCTAATGTTGGCTTGCCGATCTTCCCACTGGATTCAAAGGATCTTCTGCCAGCAGAGTTGATGGTACTCTCATCCTGTCACACTCAAGGTATAATCCCATAGTATCACATTCAAGGGGTAGTGGTATGCTCAGGGTAATCCCATAGTGTCTCACGCTCAAGGCACAATCCCACAGTGTCATGCCTGGGGGACAATCTCACAGTATTATGCTCAGGATGCAATTTTGTAGTGTTAGCTTGGTGCCAAGAGCACAAGTTCAGCTGCTAACAGAGAAATGACCTCAGGAGTTCTGCTGTAAAGCATCTGAGAGGACAAAATAATGCCACAAATGCTAGTTAGAGCCACTAGCACAGTAGAGTGTTGCTGAAATGTTTCCTATTGAAAATAGGTGTATTTCGGGACATTTTGTCTTTAGCAAATGCTTTAGTGTAAAGCGTTTCTGAGAGACAAGTTCATGCCCCATGTTCCTTTAAACAAGTTCTCAAATGACTACATAGGCTGCCTTCATCATATTGCAGATACCACATACAGAAAGATTTTATGTTGGATGCAAGGGGAATGTTAACATCCAGCTGGATACACATCATCAAATCCTTCAATCCCAAACACCTTTAATTTTATTTCTTTATTAAAACGTGTCCCTTTCTAATAAAAAATAGAGGCTTTGGGGGTTGGTCCCTTGGTAAGCAAGATATCTTGCTTTTATTGTTCCTGTCACTTCCCATACTCTTGTACATGACAGTCCCAAAAGCTGTTCAGTGTTATGCTCGTGTAACACAGGGTGGATAAAAATCAGTCATTTGAAAAAAAAATAAAAATCAGATTTTTTAAAATCAGATTTTTTTATTTAATCACATTTTTATTTTTTGTTAAGATGCTTTTTTATAAAATAAACTTATATAGTTTTAATTCAGTATATGTTAAAGCTCAAAGATATCACCATGGAGTAGGGATTATAACTTCTAAATATATAGTATTTGAGACAATATATTCATGTAACCTTTTTAGAAGTGTTATAAATAGGTCACAATAGGCCATGGACTGTCTTAGGGGCCCAATCTTATGGGGTTCCACATGCTCCTCAATAGATTAGTAAAGATTAAAGAAAACCACTCTACCCAATGGGACTCAGTGCTCAGTCTAGAAGATCCCATTAAGCTTAGTGATGCTTAGTTTCAGTTCTCAAACTGTGGATTTTTGTCTCCAGAGATCACAGGCAGACAAGGTTCTTTGGGGAGATGTGATATCTTTTATTAGGCCAACTAAATAGTTAGAGAAATTGTTCTTTGCAAGCTTTTGAGCACAAACACCTTTCTTCAGGCATAGGGAGAGTTTGTTGTCTCCAGAGATATTAGCATCCTTGTTAACAGCAGTACATGGAGATGAGAGATAATAGACCTGATTCCCATCATCCCTTTCGTCTCTCTGCAAGTTTGTGTACACACAGTCAAGCCCTTACCTTTGTCAACAAGAATGAACTTTTTGTAGAAAACTATGATTAAATCAAGGCTTCCTGACCAGTGATTTAAATCATGATTCAAATTGTTTGATTTAAATCAACTCCACCCTGGTGTAGTATTGATTTCAGCAGTATTGCACGTAACATTATAAAGTTAAGATCGAGTAAATCTTTTGTCTGAAACTGTTACTAAGGTGAAATGACATTCTGAATTCAAACTCAAATTTAAACTGGTATAACAGGTTGTAGTTTACACTAAACATCTTCAGATTCCCTTAAACTCGCTTGTGAATTTGGCCAAGATCACTGCTATATTGATCTTAATGTGCCCTGCCAATAAAGTTGTCGCTATTTTTGCTGCCACTTGCTGTCTACATTTCTAAGTTCATGTAACTGGATAAATTTAATTTTCCGTTTTTGTTCTTGCTCTCACACGTGTGCTTTCAGCTGCAGATAGTGACCTCTGGTTCCTTGCAAATCGCCTTCTGTTCTGAAAACAAAATTAGGCTTGTAATTATGAGTTTTCAAATAAGAAAGGAGTTAAAATAAACTAGAGGCTACATATTGAAATATATACCAGGGCACAAAGGGAAGGTGTTAGCTTAAAACTGCGACTTTGCTGTTTCCCCTAGTTGTTTCTAACTCATTGGTCATCTTGGTAGCTATAGCCAAGTACCTTTTTCCTTCACTTTCTGTCTCTGTTTCTTTTGCTGTCTCCTTTTTTACCTCTGGGCAAAACTTTGAAGTTTAAGAAACTGAACTGAGAGTTTTAAGGCAACTTCCAACTCAGCAGTCCAAAAGTATCTTTAGGTTAGGTGGCTTCTGAGCACTATAACCAGACCACAAGTTGTGTGATACAGTTCCATTAGTCTCATGATGTGCAGATAGATAGATCTAGTGATTACAGACAGGTACTGCAATACTTAGGTTTTCCTCTGAACACCCCCTTTAGCAGACCTGATAATGGTATCAGAAGACAAAACCACAGCTTCCCTTCATTGCCAAATTATGGTGCCCATAACTCGAGAACCATGTCCATAACGGAATTCTCTCTCTCTCTCTGGAGGGACTACTGCCACTGCTGGCCCGCTGAGCAGCCCTTGCAAAGCCAGCAGGCCAAGGCACATAAGGGATCCCACCCTAGCCCCAGCCCTGGAACAAAATGTAGGCAGAGCAAGGGCCCCCAAGGGGACACTTGCGTGCCTAAACACAAATGCCAGGATCCTGGGGAATAAACAGGAGGAACTTGTTCTCCTGCTAAATTCAAATAACTATGATGTCATTGGGATAACAGAGACCTGGTGGGACTCCACCCATGACTGGACCATGGGTATAGATGGCTATACAATGTACAGGAGGGATCGAGTGGACAAAAGGGGTGGGGGCGTAGCTCTATGTCAAGGAAAGCTATGCGTCCCTGCAAGCCGACATTGGCACCCATGATGGGCGACTTAAGACCCTCTGGGTTAAAATCCATGGGGAACACGGCACAAGGGATACTATGGTGGGGGTCTACTACAGACCCCCTACCCAGGGTCAACACCTTGACCAAGAGTTCACCAGGGAATTGGCTGAGGCCATACGCTCCTGGTGTATGGTTGTCATGGGAGACTTTAACTACCCAGACAGCTCGTGGGAGGAGCACTCAGCCAAATCCAAGCGGTTGCAAAGCTTTCTCTTGTGTG